AATGGTTCTCTTTTTTATAAAGAAATCGCATTTCTGCCTAGTATATTTCAGGACGAATGGATAAGGATTGAGCCAAGAGCTTGTGTGAGCAAATCCAATTTTTGGCAGAATGACGATACCCGGTTATGTTCTTTAAACGACGATATGCTTAATTTGTGTTTTTTTTTGCATTTATGTAAGAGATGAATTTTTAAACTAAGAAAGACTGATATATGTGGAGCACCCTGTTGCTTAGCACCAACAGCACTGCATTCATATTCACCTACGCTACAATATCATACATTCGTTTAAGTATCATTTCGTATTTTTTACTCTTTTCATTTGTCTAGTTTGCATATTCCCTTTCTTCCTAAATTGTAACTTTTTAGAACATAAACCTAACTGTAGTCCGTTTTCCTTTTATCCTTACGAAACGGTAAGCTACATACAAATCATTTTCAATTTTGTCATGCCACTCGAGAATTGGTCTTACGCTTTGCTATACACGCGTCTTAACTACTGCTCTAATTTGGTGAAACAATTTTAAATAAAGAATTTATACATTTGCTAAATTTGAACGCCCAAGCGTTTTTATTTCGGTAGAAAGCTAGCCCAAGATACAGCTACGGTGATACGCATAAAACATCAAGCTAAAAACTGGTGACCCCGTACAAAGTTTGAAGGTCGGATGTGAGACCCCGTTATAACGCTATTAAACACAGTAATAAAATCACGCGATAAAAAATTTAACTGCTAAGGTGATCACCAATTCCGATAGCGGAATTTCATCAGAACCGACGAATGCTACACCGTTTCAGAGTCCCCGCTATTCCGAGGGGATGCTACCGACACCCGAGAGACAAGCTGCCGCTGTTTATGCTCGCTTACCAATCTCCACTATGCCCAGCAATAATATCGAGGCATGGTTCACTTCGATGGATTTTTGGTTCACGGCTTCTGGGATTACCTCCGACAAACAACAGGCAGAAACCGTGTTTGCAGCACTCGACCCCACAGTGATTGGTCAATTATCGGGGGTGATCGCATCAATGCCGCAACAGGATCGGTTTGAGTACGTCAAAGCGAAAATAATCGAACATTTCGCTGATAGCGAACAGAGGCGCTTAAATCGACTTCTTTCCGAGCTTCCACTCGGAGATAAAAAGCCCTCCGAATTATACTTCGAAATGAAGCGTGTCGCCGGAAGCACACTAGGGGAAGCTGCCTTGAAGGGTCTCTGGACTAAACGGCTCCCAGAATTCGCCCAACCGGTCGTAGCTGCCTCGTCGGGTACCGCTGCGGAATTTACAAAAATTGAAGACTCAATCATAGGCGCAGTTGTTCCACATCACGTTAATGGAGTGGAATCGAGAGTTACCAACGAAATAAAATCAACTACGTGCAACTGTAGAAGACCTAGGCAAACGACTTGATAGATTTTCCGTACGTTCTCGCTCTCGCCAACAGTCTGTCAGTAAGTATCGCCCTCGAAGCATGAATCGATTTGCGCGAGGAAGTAGTCCGGTATCATCTGCCAGCTCACAATGCTGGTACCACCAAAAGTACGGTACAAACGCTCGCAAGTGCCGTAGCCCATGCCGCTATAGACACCGTGCAGCTGCGCTAACGACAGAGAAGGGGGAACTATGACTAAAAAACCACGTGGAGGTACAGTGCGATTCGTTTGTCGCACAATGCGATATTCGTCCTAGTGTCTTGAAACTTTATGCTGCCAACGGGGCTGCCATCAAAGTTTTAGGCGAAAAGCGGTTGAAGCTTGATCTCGGTCTTCGGCGTGAGTTTATCTGGTCATTTGTTATCGCCGATGTGACCCAACCTATCATCGGCGCTGATTTCATAAAATATTACGATCTTCTTATAGATATGCGTCGGAATAAGCTTATCGACAACATGACATCCCTAGCATCGCCTCTATCGCCAACTATAAAATATAACGCAACAGAGTTGAAAACGTTCACGATTGATGGGGTTTTCGGCGAAATTTTATCAGAATTTCCAAACATCACAAAGTTGGCACCACTCGCCTCCAGGTCAAAATCAACAATTTGTCATCGAATTCAAACGACAGGACAGCCAGTGTTCTGTAGAGCGCGTCGCCTTCCGCCTGACAAACTGGAAGCAGCAAAATCCGAATTCGACTTCTTACTGAAAGCTGGAATTTGTCGCGCATCTAGCAGCAATTGGTCAAGCCCACTCCATATGGTTAAAAAAAGCGATGGAACCTGGAGGCCATGCGGAGATTATCGGGCGCTCAACGCTCAGACGGTACCCGATCGGTATCCATTGCCATACCTAACGGACTTTGCTAATATTCTCCGCGGAAAATCGATTTTTTCGAAGATCGACCTGCAAAGAGCATTCCATCAGGTAAAAATTCACCCCGACGACGTGGAAAAGACCAATTTATGACTTTCGGGCTGTGCAACGCAGCACAGACGTTCCAGCGCCTAATAGGCGAAGTGCTGCGGGCCCCGACTTTGTTTTCCCATATATCGATGATATTTACGTAGCTTCGTCATCGATCGAGCAGCATCGGCAACACTTATGTTTACTGTTCAAGCGATTACAGGAAAATAATCTGACAGTAAATATTTCTAAGTGCGTATTCGGGAAAACGGAAATTAAGTTCCTGGGTCATCTCGTCGATTCACAAGGAATCAAGCCTCTTCCGGAAAAAGTTGCATCGCTGTTAAGTTTTCCTAAACCAACAGTAGCCAAGAACTTGAAACGTTTTATAGCCATGCTGAATTTTTATCGGAAATTTCTTTCCCATGCCGTTGACTATCAGTCTAAACTCCAGAAACTGATCGAGGGAAACAAAAGAAACGACCTTACACCACTAGTTTGGAATACCGAAGCCGAAGCAGCATTTCACCGCTGTGAAAAAGAACTTGCAACGCTACCTTGCTTTTTCATCCCTCAGAAAACGCAGAATTGTCTCTGCACACAGACGCCTCGGATTTTGCCGTGGGTGCTGCTTTGCATCAAGTAGTCGACGGCGCATTCCAACCCCTAGCATTTTACTCGAAAAAGCTAACACCGGCCCAGAGTAAGTATAGTACGTATGACCGAGAGCTGACCGCAATGTTTCAAGCGGTTTCACACCTTCGGTACATGATTGAAGGACGACGTTGCCGTATACTTACGGATCATCGCCCTCTTGTTTTCGCCTTCAAGCAGAAGCTAGAAAAAACTGCTCCTCGCCGTGCACGCCAACTTGATTTCATTGGACAGTTAACGACGGACATAAGGCACATATCGGAAGAAGCCAACGTCACTGCAGATTTGCTTTCACGAATACAGTCACTGGATCAAGTCATCGATTATCGTGCAATTGCACACGCACAACAAAACGACCAGGAGCTCCAAACATTGTTAACATCTGGTACAAATCCAAAATTTTCTCTAACACTAAAACCTTTTGTTCTCCCAGGAACGAACGTCGAGGTAATTTGCGACACATCGACAACGAAAATACGCCCGTACATTCCGAAAGAATTCCGCAACCAAATCGTGTCTAAAATACACAACTTGTCCCATTCTGGAGTACGCGCCACTACAAAGTTGGTCACTGCACGCTTTGTTTGGAAAGGCATAAAAAAGCACACCTCGGAAATTGTGAAAAGGTGCGAAGCATGTCAACGATCAAAAGTTCATCGCCACACGAAATCTCCTATGGTTAAATACGAACCACCTCAGGGGAGATTTACACACATTAACATCGATATCGTTGGCCCCTTTCCATTATGTGAAGGCCAGCGATATTGCCTAACAATCATCGACCGCTTTACACGTTGGCCGGAAGCAGTTCCCATTCCCGATTTGACTGCCGAAACTGTCGTCAAATCATTAATGACGCACTGGATATCGAGATTCGGTGTTCCCGAACGCATAACATCAGACCGTGGCCGGCAGTTGCAGTCTGCAATATTTCAGGAACTTATTTCTTTGATTGGAACGACTCATCTGCGAACTACGTCGTATCATCCCCAATCCAACGGCATAATCGAACGATGGCACCGATGTCTAAATTCAGCAATTCTTTCCCATGACTCCAGCAAGTGGATACATTATCTCCCTTCGATCCTACTTGGCCTTAGAGTAGTTTTCAAACCAGATATTGGCGCATCTCCAGCGGAGCTCGTCTACGGAACAACTTTGAAAGTTCCTGGCGAATTTTTCCACCCGACCAAACCCGCTGAACTGACCAGCGATACAGTAGCGGAATTTCGAAAGTCAATGCATAAACTACGCCCGACTGACACCGCACACCATTCGCCTCCAACGATTTTGGTTTCTCAAAAGCTACAGTCAGCAACACATGTTTTTATCAGGAATGACTCAGTGCGCCCCGCGCTGACTAATCCTTACGACGGCCCATACGCAGTAGCACGTAAAGCTTCGAAATATTTCACAGTAGTCATCCGAGGTCCGCCAAGCAACATAAGTCTGGATAGGCTTAAACTAGCATTTTTAACAAGGTCCGATATCGAAGCGTCACCAAACGTAATCCCGCCGCACTCAGATGAGCACAACAACAACGCATTGACGAAACCTACAACAAGCGGTAGCCAAAAGCCGCACTCAGATGAGCACAACAACGCATCGACGAAACCTACACCAGGCGGTAGCCAAGATCTGCAGGCAGATGGGGAAAACCACAATGCATCGACGAAATTTATTTTTATTATTGATTTTAAATTGTTGTATCGACCATCATGGAGCGGGAACAGATTTTTAGGTTGACCGTGAACTAGCTATAAGACAAATTAAGTGGGTTAAACCTTTTGACGACTGTACGGAAGGCTATTTTGCAGGACCTATAGATGACGACGATGGCTCAGGCGATGGAAGCGACTCAGTGTAAAGCCAGGTTTCGCCAGCAACGATTAGTGGGCGTGCAGTTTTTACACTGCGCGACATTGAAAACTCGATATTGACATTCAGTGGCACTGGTTATCCCACTGTAGAAGAATGGCTCGAAGTGTTCGAAGAAAACTCGTCGGCGGTACAGTGGGATGAATTACAAAAGTATTTTTTCAGTAAACAACTTTTAAAGGGGGCAGCAAAAATGTTCGTTCGTAGTCAGCGCGGGATTGCGAACTGGAGTTCATTAAAGCATGCTCTGAGAAATGAATTTGGGACCGTGACTGCATGCATTGAGGTGCTACGGAATCATCGCAAACGCCCCAATGAAGATTTGCGCGAATATTTGTATTGCCTTATGAAGATCGGATATTGCAAAAGCAATTTATACCAGGCAAAAACTGTACGTGAGTTGAAGGAACAGATCACTATATATGAAAAGGTGCGGTGTTGGAGGACTCCTTACGCCACAGGTTGCAACAGGCACAAGCACAGGACGACTGGACCCGGGCGGTGATCAAGGTTGTGGAGAAGGACTCTTATGAAGATTTTTACCTGAAGCATGGGGTACTGCACAAGGATTCCATCAGGGAACTTATAGTGGTGCCGATGTTGATGGAGGAAGAAATAATAGAGATAGCTCACGATCAAGGACACTTCTCCGCTAAGAGAACGGAAGAGGTAACCGAAATGATATTCTACATACCGCAAGTAGCCGCAAAGGTTAAACGCGTAGTACAGTTACACAAAAGCGTAAAAGAGAAGGATATCTGGAGCAAATACACAAAGAGGACCGACCACTAGTAACATTTCACGTCGCCCATGTTGGCCCAATGGAGAAAACCAATAAGCGGTACACTTACCTTTTGGTTATCATCGACGCCTTCTCCAAATTTGTGTGGCTGTACCCAACCCGCAGCACAGGATAAGATGCGGTCATCTATGGACTAAAGAAGCAATCATGCGTGTTTGGTAACCTTCGGCGCATAATTTCAGACAGGGGCACTGCCTTTACTTCGACTGCGTTTAGAGGATATCGCGAGAATGGGGGAATCCAACATCTACTGATAACAACCAGCGTCCCGAGAGGAAATAACCAGTCGAGAGGATCCATCGGATTATTATGCCAATGCTGGCTAAGTTATGCTCAGATAATCCGAGTAGCTGGTACAAGTACGTAGAAGAAGTCCAACAAATACTAAACAATACGCCGCCTAGAAGCACACGATTATCACCGCTTAGATTGCTGACGGGAGTCGAGATGCTACAGGCGCAAGAGAATATAGCAAAGATTCAACAAGAGAACCGGAAAAATTATAATTCGAAGCGAAAAGACGGGAAAAAGTATAGACTTAACGAATTGGGGCCATTAAGCGGACCAAATTTGGAAGTTCACTCAGATTGCGACCCAAATTCTTCGGCCCATATAAAGTAACCAAAATAATGACTCATAATCTGTACAAGGTAGAGAAGGTGGGTGAAGGCGAAGGCCCAAAACGAACTACTACCATTGCCGAACATATGAAAGAGTGGCAGCCATCGTTTG